CACCCATGTTATGAGCTCAGAGTCTTCTATATTGTTAAACACACCAATTTCGTTAAGAACGGCCACTTGATGCCCATGTTATGAGCTCAGAGTCTTCTATATAGGGATCCTGTAACGCGTTATTGTTCCAAACATGTTCTTGGTTAGTCTCCTATTTAAGCCATTCTCTGAAACGCTGTTCCTCCTTACATTGTGACCATGAGACGGTCGCATAAACTAATGCCCAGTTAGACTGAGCCGAAACTCAATCCCCACACATTTAATCAGAAAATTTAACCTGGGACAGTCCAAAATTACATTTTATTCATCGATAACCGAAGAAAAAATCAAACGGAAACCTCAGTTTGCTCCTCACGGGTGAAGTTTGGTGACAAAGAAACAATGTTGGGCAAAAATTATCTCTATGGGTAACAACACGCAAAGTGTCTCTTCATAATAAACTGTGCATATCTGACGGTTCTAAAGGTTACGACCCAATCATCATTGGTGTGTCAATTTAATCGCTGGTAACACAGAGGACCGACTGGAACGGAGAGGAGAACGGTCGTTGAAGCAGAAAATTCTCAAGATCCCCGTCACTGAACGATTGGAGCCTGGGAAACTAATCCATAATGTTTTAACACAACAACAAACGAAGCTCTTTGCTTTGTGGAGGTTTACACTTTAGCAGTAACTAAAATAGGTTTCTTTCAGATCACCTCATCAACCATAAACCGCGTGCCAAGAATACGTTGATTCCAGCTGATACAGTTTCGGCTACCGGAAAATGGGAATGTTGGGAAGATATAGCCTACCGTAGAGATGATGGCACAGCCCGAAATTTGGTATGAATCGGCAAACTACTCATTGAGGGCCATAGCTGTGATACAGCAGTGCTAGTAACTGCTCCATTCGGCCATGTCTGCCATTGCATTAACCTTTGATGAATTGAGTCCCAGAGTTTCTATCCAGAAGCCTAATTTGTCAACTTGACTGAGTTTGATGGCCATCACTTTCATACGCTGTTGCCAGGTCACGTCAAAGTGCTTGAACTCAACACAGGGATGTTTAAAATAGCTCTTTTTGCAGTTGTCCACGCAGGATGCGAGTAGATGTCCTAACGAGATCAACCTATAATACGTGAGTAACTCATCCGTCTTAAGAGATTTCCTTTTTTCCAAAATCATCTGGCATACATTGCCATCCCCTGATCTTGCCAATACTTTTGAGACTTCGGCGATCAAGCACCAAGCAACACAGTAAGGGAAAGCAAGCTCTCTGTAGCAGCCGCCAATCGCCAACTTTAATAGAGAGTACGGATACTGAAAACTGAATGTGGATCCATGCTTCCGAAATTAGTGAAGAATTATTTTAGTCTGCTTTAGTGAGCGGTAATATAGACACGGAAAACTGCTTAATGGCTTGGCAGATGGAATGATCGCAGTGCACCAGTGTGGAGTGGATGGATGTGAGGACCGGCCAGAGAAGTGCTGCAACGGCGGATGATTATTCCCAGAACAAAGCACGGGGTTTGTTTGAGATACCCACCTTCGAATTAAAAGGCAGTGGGGGAATATAGAGTGTTACACCGCTGATCACTTTCGACTTTTAGGCTCGAGATAGGTCAGCAAGAAAAAAAAGAAAAGAAAGCGTTCAGCTGTAGCACACTTTCGGTGCCCAGCTGCCATGCCACCCGAAGGAAGCTCAAGGGCTGGGATACTGCCAGGTCGCCCAAGCCTAAACAGGGAATAGATCAGCAGTTAAGGTCGATATTTCAAACCCAACCTCGGTATCTTGACTGCTCCTGCCTAGGCTTGGGCAACCTGACAACATTCCGACCCTTGTGTTTCCTTCGGGTAGCGCAGCAGCTATGCGCCGAAAAGGTGTTACAGTTGGATCGGTATTACCTATTATTACTCAGCAGAGAACTACTTCCAGCTCATGTGGTTTCCTCAACTTCGTTTTTCAATCACGCTCCTCCTGCTGAGATCTGCTGATCTAGTCCACTTTGGTGATCACATCATGTTAAGCAATGGCCTTGTGAGTACTAATGATTTCAGTTCATATACCCTATCGGAGTCGTCCACACTCGACCATAACAACTGTGATGCAACAAAGCGATCACGCGATAGCCAAGTGACTGGATTATGACTCAGACCCGACCATTTTCATCGCAGGTTCCGTTTCAAGTTGACTAAACAAAGTTGACCCGAAAACACCAGAGTAATCTATATTTCAAGAAAAGTCATAAATAGCCGAAGGAAGGATGATATTAGCACTACATCCTTCTGTCAGAAGATTCTCATACAGACTTGAAACTCAAACTACATTTCAAACCGTTGCAATAAATACAACTCCATGAAATAAATTGGGTTTGTGATTTTGCTGGTGTGCCATTTCGTGTGTTGAGTTATTCATGCCGTTCTTTAGTTGCTGCAAGTTTAAGCTATTTTCCTAGCCGTAAAATGGAGTCTGCAGCCAGAGGTGAAGACCCAGTTCAACGGTGGACACAGAATGACTAGATCGGGCCTCATGCGCAATGTTATCACATGAAACGGTGGGTTTCTCTAAGAGGTCATTCATGTGTCGCTCAACGGAAATGTCATAAAATTCTTGTGAACCTAGGTATCGCTCAGCATTTTTTTCGAAAACATGTCATGCTGGGATGGAACTGTTTCGCTCTGCTCGGCCTGTTGACTCCAGAGTGGATTTTTACTGTCAGGTCTCTGATCCAGGATATAGCTACTGATGAGCATGCAAAAGTGGTCGAATGTTTAATGTCTACAGAGACCACTAATCTCGAAGCCACGCGGACGGGAACAAGCCGTTCCGTTTCAAAAGGTATGGAAATCAGTGACTAGCACAAACGACGATGACAGTCTTCAAACCACCATCCATGCAGGGCATGAACGCGCGTGGAAACAAGCTCACTGAGGCCTGAATGACACTGGCAAAGCTCTGTACATCCATTTCATCTCTTTACGAAAACAAGCGACTAGCTAATTATCCCCCGAAATATGCTGTGGCTGAATATAACAGATTGTTAATCCCAGCCAATAATAAAGCTAAAGCGATGCAAACACTGTATAATGAGAAAAACGAAAACAGTGCAAGTTTCTGTGATTCCGCGGTCATCAATCTATGTCATGCTGATTAGCTTTCTGGAATCCTTCGTCACTGAAAGTGCGTTACCCGTCAAGGCACCAGCAGTCGCACAAATGTCAACTTATCTACCATTGTCGCTGAAATTTTGGAAGCTGTACTCTTCTCTGTGAATAAGATCACAGGATTCTTGTTTGCAACCACCAGTAGTACACGCCTAAACCTCGGAACATTCCAACCCTTAAACATCCGTGCAGGAAGTGGAGCAATTTACCACTCTACCAAGTTGATTGATTATCGTACATTTGGAGCAGAGAGAGCGCCACTCCCCTGTTAAATCAGGTAATTCAGACACGTGCCATTGTCTTCAAATAATGAGAGATCCATATAACCTTCGCGTCTGTCAGTTTCTTCTTGTGATCCACCAAAAAGCGTACCACTCACAAATTCTTTTAAGGATTCAACAGACATGCGGTGCTTTCAAACTTCACAGCGTAAGTTGGGCTCACTACTGGAGTGACTCTTCAAACTGAATACCTAAAACACCTCTATAACGATCCTTTGCAGTTCCGCCATGTCAGTTACTCCTTACGCGTAGCACCGATGAGACGCCATCGAAATATCCGTCCGAAAGACACCCTGATTTTCGCTATTTCCAAGCTCATCTCCCCACTATCTGTCAAGCATCCCTAATCTGTTCAGAAAAGGTGGACGACCACACAGATGGACCTTCAAGTGGAAAGTTCCTTGGAAGGGAGGAACTGAATACATTGAATGACATGGACCCCATACTTGTAGCAGTGGCGACTTATCCCATCTGAGTGTAAGTCCAACTCATCCCGCATGCACTGGAATGGTGCCGTAGGAGCTAAAAGATTTTAGTCGAGATACTTGGTTGGGTAGCTGTTCTGGGAATTAGGAATTTCTGTAGCCTCCAAAACCAAACAAAGCTGCCCTATTTCTGTGGCATACTCGTTATTCCATTACCGGTCGGTTTCACACCGCACTAAATATTAATACTACCTTGGCTTTCGTGCTGGCAAACTACTGAAAGAAAGCACAACAGTGAACCACATGCCCATCTAATAAATCTGCTATGTTTGATGACTACACTGGCCTCCTGTTCTAGGCGAACAATAAATCAATTATCATCAGAAAGGGAAACAACAATATCAACCCTGGTGTTTCACTGCCGCACAAATGCTCACCCAATTATGGGTCAGACAAATATCAAAATGATCTCAATCTCGATCTGAGACCGCAGCTCAGCGACTAATTTCCGACAGCTTATTACTTTCAGTGTAAATCCCAGGAAGAATGTGCCCTTCCACTGAACCTGAGCACCTAGCTCGACCGGGAAACTGCGCCTTATTGAGGGCATCACAACAGACCAGCTCTACATTGAAACGCTGTCACCAAATTGTGATAGTCTGCTAATAATGAGCTATACCACAGAATATCAGACTGTTTCGTAGCTGGTTCTCTGGCGGACACAAACATCCGTCGAGCAGCAACATGTCTGACCTGGATGACACGAAAAAGTGCAGTGAAGTCGCTAATAGAACAATTCAAAATGACTGTCGAAACGTTGGGAGCTCATCTGTCTCACTCAATTGGGTTTGCGGTTACAATTGCTACCCGCCTCGAAACACATTGCACATTATATCGTCCGAAAACGGTAATTTTATACTGGTTATACTTTTGTCTGCTCACTCTCTGAATCACACGTCATGCAAGACAAAGATGGGATGATTCGCGTGTGCCCGCAACGTTGTTCGTCGGCGTATGGTTGGATAATTAGCTTGGACCAGTTTTTGCAAGTTACACTGCTCTTGAACCTGGCAAAATATCTGCTTTTTGCGAGATGTCTGCAAAATAAGTGGTTGCCGTGCTTGTTTCACTGTGCATTCCTCATCTAGATATCCGTTGATGAGCTATTCTTCAAAAGGGGTTGCTTCCAAGCTATTAATGACATGGAGGCAAGCCTGTGTACCTACAGGAAAACAGGAGCAGATGGTAATGGCGACCATGCACCACGAAATTGGAACACTCAGTAAATATATTCAGTGATGGACAAAACTCCGGAAACTGAAACTTCAGCGATTCAGACAAGAAGAACATACCAGCGAAAGGATGAACACCATTCACTGGGAAGTTACTTATTAACGAACATGAACTAAGTAGCTGCAAGCCATAAGACGCGAAATTAGACGTTTCATCCACACAGGTTCCGAAAGTGAGGATTCCCAAGCGCTCTCTTGAATTTTCCTGTCCATTCTGTGAATATTGAACAATAACGAACAAACACTGCAAAAAAGGCTTCATAATTTCCCTACCGATCTTCACCTTTCATCAGAAGCAAGAAAAGTTCGGACAACAGCCAGTCGCTACTCGCATGCTTCATCAGTAGTGTGCACCGTCATTCTAGGAATTCCATATATGTAAGCTCCGTTCGTACCGATTTCCGGAATCTCCAGAAATATAGCGTTGACCCTCAACGGGGCATTGTTGATTCGTCATGAAATCTGTTTACCGGAAACCCTACTTGTATTGTCATGTATTGAGTGTTTGTGTCTGATAATCTATAAGGAGCTTTGGGAAGTCTATCCAAAATTAGACTGCTACCGTACCATGAGAGTACGACGCTGTGACCAATCTGAATTTGGGTGAGTTCATTAACTGCACTTATTGGGGGGTAGTCCCGGATTCAGAGGGGCACTTCTGGCGAAATGCATAAAGTTGTCCCATAAACTGTCACAAAAGTCGTGCGTGTTCCCAATAATTAATCGACTACTAGAAGAAAAACAAAATCAGAAAGGTTAAAAATCACGTGAAGCATGGTTGCCCAGAATTAAAAAATGGCAAAATACAAACGGAATAGTCCGAAGGAATGAAGATAAGTAAAGTCTCTTTGAAAAACATTTTTGGAAGAACCATTCTGAATACAAGTAACAGAGAAATGTGAAAAGGTTTGGCACGCAACAGTGTGCAAAAAATTGAGCTTAACTGAACGTTGACGTGGTCTGCAAAAGAGGAAGATAAAACAACTGGGTTAACATAGTAGAGAGCGTTATCAATCACAAGTACCCAGTTGTGATGGTAGGCTGTCGAAATAAGGGAAAATGTATCAACCAAACATTAAACGGGGGCGACACGGATGTGGTTAGAGCACGAATTTACTGACCGGAAGGTTCATGGTTCGGGCCCGGCCTCTGCATCCCGACTCTCTTTATCTAAACTTGGACAACCTGGCAGTATCCCAGCCCTCGTGCATCCTTCAGGTGGAATGACAGCTAGGCACCGAAAGGGTGCTACAGCTGAATGATTTATTCTTTATTTTTATTTTTTACAACATGGTAGGAATGACAAAGTAACTGGTAGAGAGCTGGTGGGCCGACCAGAAACCTCCCAAACACGATGAGATTCCCTCACCGTAGTCCTGACACCGCAAGCCAAAGCAACACGGTCAGGGGCCACAGAGGGCGAAAGTTGATTTATTCCCACAGCTGCTTGTATATGAAGCGGATCAGTTCATATCAGATGCGTGTTAACTGGGAACTTACAGAGTAGGGAGAGACCAATTTCAGGAGATAAACGAGGAATTAGAGAACCCTATGGGAACTAAATATTGCCCGTGAATGAAGGTTACCCGGTTGGTGGTGGTTGGTAAAACCAAACTATTAGATAAGCGATCAGCAATAAATAGGAAAGGTGCCTGACACAATGACAGAGAACACGCAACACAAGCCAACAGGGATAATTCGCATTTTGATGGAGGTTACGTTCGACCGACACTTTTTACGCACCATAATTTCATTGATAAGAGAGCGCACGGCGAAAGATCTTTCTGATAAAACCTTTCCGAAAGCGTTAGTTCATCTTATGTGGCAAGCTCCGAACCGCCGCCGACAACGTGAGCAGTAAGAGATAGAATTCTGAAGTAGAAACATCAATCTAAAGGCGTACCCACTACGGCGACTATCACTGAACAACCTACCTGGGAATACCAACGCTGTCGCGTTTGAAACACCTATTACCCAATACAATCGCAAAATTCTCTTGACGAATGGTTACTTACCAATAAAAAGGAGGTTGGCCTGGCATTCCGGGAGTGTTGCCATAAGGCCGAATCTGTCCAGGCATTCCACCAGGCGGGTATGGATTGCCGGGCATCATTGGCGCCATACCTGGCGCTACACCTGACTGACTGTAAGGCATTGAACCCGGCTGACCATAAGGAATTGAACCCGGCTGACCATACGGCATCGAGCCCTGACCTGGCATCATCCCTCCGTGATATTGTGTCGGATTCGCCGGCATCATTCCAGGTTGTTGATACGACACCCCGGCAGTAGGATAATTCGGCTTCGATCCTGGTTGACCACACATCACACCTCCACCGTAACTGCCGGAAGTCATTCCATGATGCTGGAAAATTCAGGCGCAGACACAAATAACGGCGTAAGATGTAGACAGGGTTGTGTGCATGTTACCCATGGGAAACACTGATCAGTCGTTTGATTGGATAACCCACGTTGCACAATTTCACCACAGAGAACGACTTAAATATAACAGCAACACTGACCGAACCCAGCCCTGAACACAAGGCATAAACCAGAGTAAAACTGAACAGTTTGTAGAGATAATTAAACCAGTCGTAAGTACCAAGTAAACCAATAATGAACTGATCGGATGACAGAACTAACTGACCATGATACAAGTCATTGCACGCAATAAGAATCCAGGTGCCCGCATAACAGGTGACAATTCATAAAGTTCACTTGAATTTCGACTAATTAACGATGGAGTGAAGATTTGTGAGATGTCAAACTGAAAGAAGTAACAAACTGTACGTGCGTGCAGGCATGCAGAGGTTCCTCCACCAGAATTTACGGATGCGTTAATCGTGTCACCCGGTAAGGAAAAAGGGAAACAAGAATTCGCCTAACAACTAGGATTATGAAAGCAGCTTGTTGGCACGGGTGACCGAGTCTCCTGAGTGTCGAGCTGTCGGATCACGCCCCTCAAGAACAACGTGGTTCCTGCCGCATGAAAGAATTGGTGTTTGCTGTACGGTGATTTCACAAGCGCTTCCAACCGGTACAAGCTCTCTTCGTAGACTATACCGGAGCTTTGGGCTCCACCAGTCGAGAAGTACTGTGGATGGTTCTTTCTAAATGAGTGTCTAACAAAACCTGCGAACCTCATCAGAAGCTTTGGTGACCGAATGAAAGCAAGTGTACAGAAGGAACCCTTCATCAGGACAGAAAGGCTTTAATCCCCACTCTCTTCACTCGATATATAATAATCGTCGTGAAAGTAGCCTTCGTGAGCGATTATGCTTGTGTGTAGTTCGACTATCCNTTCGGTGAGCGATTTGCTTGTGTGTAGTTCGACTATCCGCTCAACGAATACCCTTTCGATATTTGACGCTATTGGACATTTCGATCCGAATAGTCTGATCCACCAGACTAAGGTGTGCATTCTCAGATTTGTGGACGAATAGCTACTATTAGAACGTACACACGGCGCCTAGCTAAGGAGCCGGCGGGTGTTGCTAAGTATATATATATATATATGGTTGGAACTTCGTTCCACCAAGGCTTTACCGTACCAGGAATACTAATTGAGAGGAAGAGCAAGAAATTTCAGTACCACAAGCAGTCATAATGTGAGGGAGTTTGGATGTAAGGTCGTGGTGCTCGCTGCGACAGCACTGTGCGGATAGTACGATACTTCCACTGAACAATCATTCCCACAGTTGGAGATTCAAGGAAGCTCCCTTTCGCTGAGAAAAGATAGATTAAAAGGTCGGCCATAAAACCGCACAAGCTGATCATCCAACTGTCGACTGTAATTGCTGGCGCATCACTTAATGTGGTCAAAATTCCCTTAAAAACCAAGATTGCGGCCCTAGAAGCAGCAGCATTAAGAGAAAGACAACCATAGCATGGGTCCTTGGGCTAAGCCGAAATTCCATCGCCAGACGAGTCAGATTCTCGGTTCATTGTCTTACATAAAACTGCCCCAAGAAGACGAGATTGGAGGTTGGGTCAGGAGAAACCTAAAGGTACCGAAGAACTGCACTCGTCAGCAAACAAAGAGAAACGACACGCCAACTTCGAGTCGGAACGTAGAACGTCAAAGCCATTCGCGACCCAAAAGACATGCAGCCCTTGTAACCATAGAGCTGAAACACTACCGCATCTTTATAGCTGTTTTCGGTGAAACTCGGTTGGCTCATCAAGAAAGATTGCAGGAAGTTGTATGCATAGTCTGCTGGTTTGAAACTTGACAAGACAATCGGTGGGAACACAGAGTAGGGTTTGCAGCGGCCGATCAAATGGATGGATGGATGGGTACTGGATTATCCGGAATGCATCAATGCAAGGATAATGGCTATCTGGATTCGGCCATCCAGAGGAACTTGACACTTTGTCTCACTCAAAAGCCGAAGAAGAATTCTACCAGCAGCTGTTAACTGTCAGCCGTCGACCTATTTCTCATAGGTGATCTCAATACCCGAAGAAGTCGTGACAAACAGACATGGAAAGAGAAAATCGTGCCACTCAAAATTGGAGACATAAATGCAAACGGTCAATGATTACCAACGACGCGTACGAGTAAGGAACTCGCGATCACTAGTATGTGGTCCATTACTGGAAAAGCGCTCATCACGACATAAGTGCACTCAGGAAGTGGACAGGAGTATTGTTGGATTACGTAATTGCCCGAAAAGCGGATGTCACAGATGTACCCGTAAAATAGGTGTTAGGCGGTGCCGATTGCAACATGAGGTTCAGCCTCCGACCGTCTCTGGAGCAACCACCTCGCCGGGATTGTCAAAAACTCAAAATCAAGCGTATTTTGGATCAGTCGGCATTACAGAATCTTCGAGGCTGTCTGTGACAGAGTGTGAAGTTCAAGGACACCACAAACGTTGGATGAACAGTGAAGAAAAAATGGACCAAGAGAAAGGGATATGCCACAATGGCTGCGATTAAAACCACTGGATTCAGAAAAGCGTCAACACTGGTTTTGTGAAAATGGTGTATTAAATCCCTCTTGTTTAATGAGAAGACAATGGCCTGGCCTTTACAAAGTCGCTCCAGTAACCGTTTCTTGTTTAATGAGAAGACAATGGCCTTTACAAAGTCGCTCCAGTAACCGTTAGATTTACTAGCGCCAACGGAGCTTTGCAAATGAGATAGCCAAGCATTCGAAGTATCTATACAAACTGGTGTTCCAATCGTATACAGACCGAACTCGTTGGAACACTGAAAGAAACATATGGACCAACAGAAGAGTGTCGCCAAGATAGTTACCCCTTTGGTTCGAGGTAGCTCACGGCGAAGACGAAGCCGCGTGACTTGTTTCGGATGACCGCGCTTCACTTGCACACATTTGGAAGCGGGATTTCAGCGTTTTGATTACATTAGCGCTTCTACAACACGCTCTTTATAACAACAGATCCCGTGTTCAAATTAATGGCTCCGGCATGGCGTGCAGAGATTACCACCATGGCAGCACCCTGACCACAGAATCGAAATTAATACTGAACTACATGCACGGGTTCCCAAGGCAAGTACTGCCTCCGGCCGTTCATATAAACGATTATGGAGCAACCGCAACCTGCGTGTTGATGCTAAGGCCGCCGTTAACCGAGCTACCGTACTTTCTCCACTATACCAACGGCATATTCGAGCCTTTGGCAAAATTTACCTAAACACCTGTGCAAGAAAATCCGATCTTATTGGTCAGGTAAAATTCGAGCGCTACAGTTCTCAGATGGGCCCAGATCAACAGAATCGAGTGCGTCTTGATACACCTCCAGTTGCGCTGGACGGGATACGTAAAAATAATATTCCACAGCGAGCTGTTGACGGCCAGCTGAAGAATGACGTCCAGACCTTTGAGGGGACAGAATTCCGCCGGTGCTCAGGTAAATTTGAAAACTGTAATCCTGGTTTCAGATTTTTGGAACATTTGGCAGTTGACAAAGCAGCCTGAAGAACTGCCGTTTGCACAAGCTTAAGAGATTCGAAGGATCATCATCACCATCATCGATAGTATGACATCAGTGTTCAACAATGATGCTTCGCGATCATAGCTTGAGGCATAATGTGTCACAATACTCGAACCCAAAGGTGCTATTTAAAAAGTTCGTATAATGACCAGCATAACTTGCCGTTCCGTATAGTCGATGAGGACAAGACTCGCCGGTTGCCAACACACACTCCAAGCCACCACGGAAGCACGGTCAAACACCTATGTTCGAATCTCCCAATGCTACCCAGTCGTTCAGCTGTAGCACCATTTCGGTGCCTAGCTACCACGCCACCCGAAGGCTGCACGAGGGCTGGGATACTGCCAGGATGCCCAAGCCTAGACAGAGGAAGTCGAGAGGCAGAGGTCGACTGCAAACCACGGACCTTCCGGTCAGTAAATTCGCGCTCTGACCCCTTGGGCCATCTCGCCCCATCTACCCAGCATTTGCCAAAGGGTAGTTTGCTGCGATTTCTAGTTATCATATGCCAACGCTGTCGTCATACTACAAGATGATAGCACCAGTAGCATTCCGGTTACTGACTCGCGGTATGACCACCGATCCCCCACAAATACCTTTCTGGACACCCTCCAGAGGGCACCGTTATAGTAATTTATCCAAGGAAATGCGGGTCCCACCGAAATCTGGAGGAATTGGATTAAGCAAGGAATTTGGGGTGAATGAACTAGCACTGGTGGTCATCATGCCCTTTTACTTAGGCCGACAGATGGATATCCACAGGCCTCCGGCATTCATCCGCTTATATCAGCGTTTATATTGACACAACAGGCTTGCATGTAGTGCCGCGTTCGCCTTCGCGTCAAATGCCTGTGGCTTGTCTGCTGTGCGTAGATGCACAGTAGATCAACCGCTGTTGACGGGCAGGTGCCAGCTAACGAGTATATAT